CATATGGAGACACACAATATAATCCCTGTTCCCAAGGAGGTGACAGTCTAGTGGGGGAATGAGGCCCATTCACTCCTGCAGATGGTTCTGCATATAATGGCTTCTGGATGTGATGAGGGCCAACATGGAGGGATCTACACGGAACTATGGGGGATGTAGGAGGCAGTGACTACACTGGAAGAAAAAAAAACACCTAGAAAGGGTGTCAAATGAGAAAGAGGGAAGGAACTGAGAGGTTATAAGAGCGTGAGCGAGGACATGCAACCCAGGTCTCAGAGAATCTTTGACTCAGAAGAAATCTCAAAGACTGGCTCTTCATACAGCTGAAAGAAATTCCTTGTATATCACCCCAGCGAGATGATAATTCAGTTTCTGCTGGAATATTTCCAGGGAGAGGAAGCTGATTACCTCACAAGGCATAAAAGGTTCCGCTCTAACCTTTTCAGTTGGTGTTGTGTGGTATGTAATGGGGTCTTCTGTACGATGCTGTCTCTTCATTGTCACTGAATAACAGGCTGAGTAATATCTGGTCTCTGACTTCCTCTCAAGGGAAGAAGAAAATGTCACGTTGTCTTAGGACCTTTGACTTATAGAATGTTAGAGCTGAGGAGCGGGGAGCTCAGTTATCATTTAGTCTAATGGTTTTTAAAAGTCTCTTTGTGACTCATGGACTTTTTTGACATTGTGATAAAAATATGTAGGTCTCCTCCCCCAAAATGTCCATATGCTCATGATATACAAACCGTTGCATACAGTTTCAGGGCATTCATGGAGCCCCAGAGCCCATCCTGGATTAAGAAATCTTTTCATTTCTTGGGAAATGGGAAACTGAGGCTCAGAGAAGTGGGATGAAATGGAGTGGAATCATAGGAGTGATTTCCCATGGGTCAGATGACAATGTGAGCAGAGGAGTCGGGCTTATGGGTCAACCCTGGAGAAACTCATTGCCAGACTGAAGATGTTCAGGGAAGCAGGCAGTAAGCGGATCTATTATAAAGTGAAAAGGAGACTTGGGGTAGGAGTGGGGGTGCCAGGAGCACTTTCTTTATCTGAAAGTTGGTTTATGGAAAAGGGTGTAGACTTTTCTCTTTTGCTTTAAGGGGTATCTCAAGACCAAAAGGTAGAAAAGAACTTCTGACAGAATTGCCCTCTACTGGAATGTGCTGTTTGAAATCTTTGTCACTTGACTTTTTTGAGGACACAGAACAACCTCCTTAGAAGGGACTTCAGCATCACAAGAGTTTGAACTGGATGACTCAAACTGGACTTGATTATGTTAACTCTAGGAGACATATGCAATCTCATAGAGTAGCCAGAAGGCAGCTCAGGTCTCCCAAAGAGTATGGTAAGTTAAGGAAAGGGAAATGTGAGGAAGTGAGGGAAGTTCAGGATGGCAGAGCCCTCAAGTGTGAGGGTGTGGGAGGGAGGCAGTCATGGAGAGAAATGGGACTTGGAGATAGAAGCGGAAGCAGAATGATGAAGGGTCTTATGTGGGACCATGGATGGTGTTCAAGAACAATGGCCCATGTAGCATGGTGGGACATGAGAATGGAGGCAAGAGGACATTTCAAGAGGAATTAACAGAATCAATGGTAGCATCACTAGCAGGGAAATCAGGAGGCGAGAAGAAAGGCTGTGCTGATGAGGTGTAGGTTTCACAGTGAGTCTGAAGTGACAGTGACAACAAGACACAAAAATGGAAAGTGTTGGCAAGTCACAAAAGGACAGCAAAGTGGAAATGCCCACTAGGCAACTGATGATGTGGAATCAGAGTTCCAGGAGGTCAGGATGTGAGACAGATTAATGGGCTATCTACAGAGATGAAGTCACTGAGGTTTCATGAGTAGACACCTTTCCAATGGAAAAAATGTATAGCATGAGTAGAAGTCTAAGGAGCGAGTCTGCAGAGCTGACCTCAGTGTGGAGATGGTATAATTAAAAAGCTGTGAGAAGGAAGAGATGGAGAGATAGAAGAGAGCTGGGATTAGAGAGTGAAATAAAAACCCAGCAAAATGGAAGCTTCCGGGGACAAGAGTGATCAACATAAATACAGTCTTGTCTAGTGTGCATTCAACTGTGTGCTATGGCAGGTAAATTATAGCAATGTTCCTTTTGGCAACAACATAGGTGGTGCAGTGTGAGTTATAAAGTGCTTTTAAGTGGATTATAGGTATTTCTTAAATAGTATTTTCTGAAAGACATGCCTTGGAAAGCATGACTAAAACTTTGCTCTCTCCCAATTTCTCTATCAGTAAATGAGAAGTCATTTGAAGTTTAATAAGTTCTTTTCACATCGTTGCTTTAAGGATGGTGATCTGTGCCATCCCGATGTGCTATGCTGGGAAAGGTAGACCGAGGCGGTGCCACGTGCCTGGGTCACCTTGGCCAGCGAGGCAGTAGCAGCGAGGACTGAAGTCAGCATTCTGATTTTTGTTCCCTAAAGCCCAAACCACATCCAAAGTTAAACACTGACTCAGATCTTAAGAAATAACTTTTGAGAAATAAAATTAAAACAAATGAAATCAGTTTCTTCTCCCTTTAAATATTTCTCTTGGAGTCCTTATGCCCACAAGCACCATATGAGGTGATGGTTAGACTGTAAGAAATTTGTTTACTTCCAATAATGACACCTAATAGAGGAAAGATTGTGACTGAGAAAAAGGAAAGAGGTTACCGTTCCCAGTTTGGGCCATTTCAGATATTACCTCAGTAAGCACAGCTCCCACATAACAGGTTTTTAAAAATGACCTTCAGGGGTGCTGGGGGGCTTAGCTGGTTGAGCATATGACTCTTGATTTCAGGTCAGGTCATGATCCCAGGGGCGTGAGACTGAGCCCTACGTCAGGCTCGGTGCTGAGCGTGGAGCCTGCTTAAGATTCTCTCTCTCCCTCCGCCCCTCCCCCACTTGCTCTCCCTCTCTCTCTCTCAAAAAAAGTAATAAAAAAGTTTTTTAAATGAACTTCAGAAACTAAGAACTAAGAACAAAGAGGACCCATTGTTCATAGCCGTGAAACCAACCAGGATAACAACGAAGGGGGGGTTGGGCTAGATGGTCCCTTAATCCCCCTACCTTTTCAAACCCTCAGGACTTGGAGTCACAAAAGGCCTGGTTAGGAAAAAAAATATTCTAAGGCTCTATTTATGCATGTCCTGAAGTGAAAGCCCTTCCTCTCTATAGGAGATCTTCTGACAAATGGATTCTTGGTTCTCGGCTCTATGCTGACTCAGCAGTGCCTGTCCAAACTCTTGGCCCCCGGGGTATACGGCCACTAGGCAGCACTGCAGGCAAAGGAGAGAAGGAAGAGGCTGAGATCATTAACAGAGAAGACTGGGGCGGAGGTTCCACAGAACTGGAGAGTGCCTACAAGTCAGCTGGTCTAGTTTGTCATGTTTCATAGATGAAAAAACTGAGGCTCAGAGGACAGATGCTGTGTTACCCTACAACCCCTCTATTCTGCTGGAAAGGGAGTTTGGGGACTCCAGGGCCCCCTCTCTATGCTAATGAAGTAGAATGTGTTTGGACTAATGCACTCCTTTTTCTTTTTTAAATTTTTTTGGTGGGGGGGGTGTGCAGGGTGGGGAGGATATACAAAGTCGTTGCCTTTGTACAGTCCCACCAACATATTCAGGAAGGTGTGACTTCAGATTCTGAAAACAGATTCTCACCCATAAAAACCTGAGTTTATGGAAACATCAGATGGAAGGAAATATAGCATTCTATCCCTTACAGAGAATATTTAACTTACAACTCAGGATAATTTGCCATGTGTATTAAGTAATATCTACTTAACAGTTGTCATTCTCATGCAAGGAAATTTCCTAATAAGGATAGAAGAAGAGGCACGTGGAGAGGCCTCAGGTTAAACTGGATTCTTTGGCAAAAGCGAAGAGAAGAGAACCTCATAAAGAGAACCGTGCAAGATAGTATTTCCTAGGATGCCACCACTGCGGTAGCTTCAGTCACAGAAAATGATGTCTTCCTGTCAATCTCATCTACCAAAGGCTAACATTATGGTTAGCATCCCAGTTCACAGTGGCATTTAACGTCTCACTAAAATGGCTTATCCTGCCTTTTATTATTATTTCAAATTATTATTTATTACACACCTGCTTCCCCCTTGTGGGCAAGAAATGGAAGGATTCAAGATTTAGAAACATTCACGATCCAGCCAGAAGTTAAGATTCTGCCCGTTATCTTCCGCATCAGAGGTTTGGGGACCTATACCTCCTGATGCAATAGTCCCCTGCTAAATAAAGCACCCCAACAAAGGCATCCAAGAAAAGGTAAACCAAGGCATAATCTAAAATCAATCACTTTTGGTAAAATAATCACACTGTGTATGTAATAGGCACACATGACTATTTTACATAGTCTATAAAAATAGTGTGAGGTCCTTGAGGCAAAATCACTATTTTCTCTAAAGGCTCTAGCCAAGAATTTTGTATGTACAGTAAGAACCCGGTCAATATTTCGTGAACACATCACATGAGTTAGTACAGATTTGATAAGGAATAGGTGGCGAGGGCAAGTTATTCACACAACTTGGTCGCTTTAATCAAATCAAAACTAGACGCTTCTCATGAAGTAGGTTAGAAACTGGTGTTGGTTTCCTGTGGAAAGGCAGGAAAGGAAGGAGGAGGAGCAGTTATCTCTCTGTAGCTTCCTGTAGGTAAGCTCCTGCCCCCCACTCCTTGCTATCGTGGCTGTGGCAGTGGTTTGTCCCTGGGTTCGAACCAGAGGGGCTAACCTAGACGAACAGCCAACCACCAAGTAGAAACTGGGCCTTGGTCCTTTCCTGTAGCCTCAGTGCCCCGCAGGCCTAGTGGGCAAAAGGGGGTGGGGTGTGACACGGGGACAGGGATCAAAATTATTTCTTTCTGATCCTCTTTGGATTCCTCTTCCTGGCCACTGCCCCCCTTCCCCCCACCCCCCCTGCCCCGTGCCCCCTTCCACCCTGATTCTGGGCTGTGAGAACATAATGTCCACAGCTCTCACTTACTTGGCAGCAGCATCTTTTCTCAACTGTTCGTGCTTCATGAGGAGATTTTTCCGATCTCGAAAAGCTTTTCTGACCTTGTATCCTTTGTAGACCGCCTGGATTTTGAAGGCAGCGATGTCTTGTATGGCTGCGATGGACAGGGCGCCGTGCTCCAACATGAACTGGATCACTTCATGGCGCTCACCGAGCAAGGCATAGTCAAGGGGAGTGTACCTGAAGGAGGAAGGTATTTTGTTAAGTGTTGGCATGTAACCTGAGGTACAGTTCAGCTGCCAATATTATGCAGCAAAGGAAACTTCATTCTGACATGTGGACTCTTCCTCAGGCAAGGCTATCTTGTGTACTCCAGGGCTGTTCCTTTTTTTTCTGAGGGGACAAAACAAGGCAGGAGCTGGGGTCAGGTGCTTTGTGTCATTGACCATGATGGTTCCTGGGTCTTGCTTGCTGGCTCACAAACCAGGGGCTATAGGAACACATGATCACTTTTCTTCTTCCCCATGTGCCAAATAATACCCTGCTCCTATCTGAAAAAGTACTGCAGATAATTTCCTGTGGGACTCATAAGTTTAAGCCTGGGACTACTGATAGTTAATGCTTGTGAAATAAAAAATACATCTCCAAATGGACAGATTTAGTATATGAAGAGGATGGCCCTTTAAATCAGAAAGCATTTATTAAGTAGTTTTGGGACAGCTGCATAGCCATCTGGAAAAAAAAAGGAAGATTCTTGCATCAGATTTTACATGAAAATGAGTTCTGGATGAAGCAAAGACCTAAATATAGAAAAAGAAACTGTGGAAGTACTAGAAGAAACCAGGGAAGACTTTTTTAAAAATTAGAGTGGGAAGGTCTTTTCTAATAAAAATAGTACAAAACTCAAAACTGTAAGAGAAGATTGACAAATCCAACTACATAAAAATAACAAAATTTTGCAGGGCAAAAAACACCAAAAACAAAGATAAAAGAGAGTCCTCAGAACAGGAAACACTGATGGCTCCTAAATATATAAAAATATGTGCAGCTTCACTCATTTAAGAGAAATATAAATTAAGACTAACAAGGAGAGTTAGGTTAGCTAACCAATGAGCAGGTTAGCAAAGATTAGAAAGTTTAATAACACACTGTGCTGGTAAGGATGCAAAGACAGGCTCCCTATGTACTACTTTAATCTTGAGAGACAACAATTGGGCAGTATCTATCAAAATTGTTCCCACATCTGTCCTCTGGCATTTCACTTGCAGGCATATATCCCAGAGACCTGCTCTCGTGCGTGCGTGTGTGTGTGTGTGTGTGTGTGTGTGTGTGTGTGTGTGTGATGCTTTCTATGTAAGGATATTCATAGAGGCACAGTTTGAAATAGTTAAAGAATGGAAACAACCTCAGGATCCATCAACAGAATACTGCTTACATAAAGTACAGGCCATTTGTGTAACGAAGTCATTTCTATAATGCAGCCATTACTGTGGCATATGAATAAAATAAGGAACAATGTCCAGGATGTCTTGTTAAATGAAGAAAAAGAAAAACAATTAAGCAACAGAACAGTATTATGGCATGCTCCTTTTGAATAAAAAAAGAGAACATATCCCTGCATTCTTATTGATGTAAAATATATCTCTAGAAGTTTACCAAGAAACTGGTTGACAGCGACATCTCTGGGGAGGAAACTGGTTGTCTCAGAGGCAGGGGTAGGAGGGACATTTAGTTTAAACTGAATGCTTTTTTATGCCTTTTATTTATTTATTTTTAATGTTTATTTTTGAGAGAGAGAGACAGAGTGTGAGTGGGGAGGGGCAGAGAGAGAGGGAGACACAGAATCTGAAACAGGTTCCAGGCTCTGAGCGGTCAGCACAGAGCCCAACATGGGGATCGAACCCACAAACCATGGGATCATGACCTGAGCCGAAATCAAGAGTTGGATGCTTAACCAACTGAGCCACCCAGGTGCCCCTTTTATGCCTTTTTATACCTTTTAAATTCTGTACACTATGCATACCTTTTTGATAAATATATTATTTAGAAAAGATGGGTTTTATTGTCATATAGCTATATATTTGAATCTCAACTGGCTTTCTAGATGTATAATTTTGGGCAAATTCCTTTCTTAAAATATATCCTTTCTATTTCTGGAAATATAAAATAATTGGATAAATACACAGAAGAAAATAACAGTCATCTATATCCCCCCCCCCCCTTAGAATTAATCAGTGTTATTATCTCGGCAGGTATGTTTTTTAAATGATTACTTTTTAATGACACATATTTTAAGTATTAAAATAATGCAAAAAAATACAAAAATTGAAGTAAAATAAAATCCCAACTCTACCTTCCAACAATGGTAATGCTGACTGTCACTTCTTAACCAACTTACCTCTCCTCACTACAGATTTGGCATGAAGAATAAATGAAATGATAAATCCAAAGAAGATAACACTGTGCCTGGCATAAAAGAAGCAATTAATAAATGTCAGCTGTTGTCGTTATTATTATAGGACATGCACTGCATCAGGGTTTGTGATACCATGGTCACATGTCATCGATATTGTTCCCACAGGACCCAAGCTAGGAGTTATGGCCACCTAACGACTGCTACTGATCTGATTCCTCTCTGGGAGACTGTTACTAATCCAACACAATCAGAGGTGTTACGAAGAAATGATCAGCTGATTTATGAGGCGGAAAAACTGATGATTATATGGATGCATGATTAGACACAGAAAATCATCCAGTGATTATAGAGATTTTCTCTCTTCAAAATTCACCTGACAGTCATAGTCAGACGTCAATGGAGGAGATTTTTCAGTATAAGCAAAGGGTGGTTTGGTCACTTCTATAAGGAAACTGAATTCAGAAGGAAGTCTGTATGTTAGAATTAAGAAACTCTCATTTTTAGGACATCTTGATTTGTCTTCACTGTTCAGGGACCAGAAGGCCCTATGGTAGAGGTGCCAACATAAACTTTAAAAACATTATCTATAAGTAGGTAGCATCTTGTAAATTCAGAAGAACTTAAAAATTAAAAAAAAAAATTTTTTTTCAACGTTTATTTATTTTTGGGACAGAGAGAGACAGAGCATGAACGGGGGAGGGGCAGAGAGAGAGGGAGACACAGAATCGGAAACAGGCTCCAGGCTCCGAGCCATCAGCCCAGAGCCTGACGCGGGGCTCGAACTCACGGACCGTGAGATCGTGACCTGGCCGAAGTCGGACGCTTAACCGACTGCGCCACCCAGGCGCCCCATAAAATTTTTTACTGTATATTCTATTTAAAAATTTTATTATTTAAAAAAATTTTAATTCTAGTATAGTTAACATACTGTACTGACTCAGTTTCAGGTGCACAATACAGTGATGAAGTGATCAAGATAAGTGTAATCACTATGTATTCTAAAATATCTTTTCATGACCGTACTCTCTCCCAATGGAAAAAATTATCAGAGTCACAGAACTCTGTGACAGTAGAGCTAAACTGAATTTTGGAGGTCTTTTGGCTTAACAGCTTCATTTCATAAATGAGTAAATAGATTCAGAAAGTTTAAGCAACTTGCTGAAGGTTATGAAACTAGTTCCCTGCAGAACCCAGACCTGAACTAAGACTGTAGGACTCCCTGTTCAGTAATCCTTCCACAGCACATCTATCAGTCCTGGAATATAATCCTCGTACAGAATGAAGCTGCTTCTCAAATCAACGTGCAAATTACGTATGCATTTAGTAGGTTTGATCATCTTTTCTAGAATTACTAATAGGAGTGTCTTTTTCACACAGTATACAAGCAGGATTATCAAAATCTGGTGGGTGAAAGTAAGGCCCAACCTCTGCCTTTGCTGTATCTCTCAGGCCACTTGTGGATGGAAAATTGTATTTTAAATATCTTTATCATGAAAAACTGTATTTTTATTATGAGAAACTTCAAGCATAAAAATAGCACAATAACCATTTATATGCTCATTACCCAAATTTAACAATTAGCAAGATTTCTGCCACATTTGCTTCCTCCAACTCCTTTCTTATTATTTTTGCTGAAGTGTTTTAAAGCAAATCCTAGACCTCCTATTATTTAATCATTCTGCACTGCGGTATTGATCCATAAATAATGTGGACACGAGCACAACGTCATTACAGTATTCAGCAAAATTAACAGGAATTCCTTAGCAAAATCTAGTACCCACTCCAAACACAGATTTCCCCAATTTTCTAAAAAAATGCCTTCTTTATAATTGGCTTATTCAAATTAGGATTCTTGGTCAATATTTGATTCATGGAAACACAGTCCAAACATCCAGAAATATTTTAAGACCGAAGTCTATGCCTAGTGTTTGGGCACTGACCATATTGCAAATTACTACTATTGAATCTTTCTTCACCCCAAATTCAATTTAGAAACACTCAAGTGCTGTGAATATTCCCATCGATGCCGGAGGGTGGCTGTCAGATAGTTATTGACTGAAAGACAGCGGTAGTTGGCAAAAATTATGTCTATACAGTGCACATCAAGTGCTTGGTGTCAGTGCATGAGAAGTAAAAATTAGCACCACGTTGATGGTAACCAGTCAAGAAACAATGTAGATAAAGCCAAGAGACAAGATACAATTGGCCTTGCCTGTGCAGGAATGGTCCGATGGGATGAGTGGAAGGCCTAAACTGGAATGTCAATAAACATCAAAGGCAGAGCCGGGTTCTGACATTTGCACGTCAAGGTGCACTGCTGATGAAACATTAAAGGAGACTGGGATATTGCCACTGTCTCTTTTCATCTAAAGATTGGCAAGTACAGTTAGGAGGATTTTTCCCTCGGTCTTTTGGTCTGTAATTAACATATGTTTACTCTAGGAGGCAGTAAGCACCTTAATTCATACTCTTACTTAGGCCTGAAATTTAAGGCTTCCCCTAAAAATGGGAACTGAATTACAACAACAAATGTTTTTACTGTTTCCTAAGAAAACAGCAGTCAGGCAGTAAATACTGTTATAGAATAAATCCTTTCTAATAGACCTAATAAATCACCACAAATTCCTTAGGATTCTTAACCTTTCCCTTTTGCCTTTATGGGATTTCTAAGAGCGAAATCTTCTCTCTCACATATCTGCTTTCATGTCAAAACCTCAGCCTTGAGGATTCTGCTTGGCTTTCCAGCTTCCTTCAATGTCCAAACCCCTAAATCTTCGAGTCTTCTTGGTTTTGCAGTTGTCATTTGACTATAATAGAGACAGTGAGTTCTTTATACAACCCCTTCCAAAGTAAGACATACTAGTCTGATTTACCTAATACTGTATGTACTCCAAGAATTCCAGAGTTTCTTTCTTTCTTTTTTTTTTTTTTTTTTAAAGTTCATTTATTTTGAGAGAGACTGAGACAGCACAAGTAGGGGAGGGGCAGAGAGAGAGGGAGAGAGAATCTCAAGCAGGCTCCACACTGCTAGCGCAGAGCCTGATGTGAGGCTTGAATCCACGAAGCCGCGAGATCATGACCTGAGCCAAAACCAAGAGTTGGATGCTTAACCAACTGAGCCACCCGGGTGCCCTAAAGAATTCCAGAAATTTCTAATGCAGGTGTGAGGCAGGGAAGCTACTGGGAGCCTGAAAGCATCAACTCAACAATGCAACAGTTATTTACTGAGCACTTACTTCCTGAAAAGTACTGCGAGCAACACAGAGATGACGATTCTCTTCAGGAGTTCTCTGCTAACACGGAAAAAGGATTACATAAAATTATCAGATAAAGTGAAGTGTGCTAAGTGCTATACAAACCCACAGTGTGGGGGAGACCTTTGTTTGGAACACCTGCCTTGGGGATCAGAACAATCTTCTTAGATGGGACTGCATTTGAATGGAGGAATGACGTGACTAACAATTATATTAGAAATATGATTTAGGGAGGCTACTTGGGAAGCAAATGAACTGAAGGAGGGAAATTTCAAAGGGTGCAGAACAGCAAGGAGGCATTGCGATAGTCCCGGGAATGAGTCAAAGAGGGCAAGATTTAGACAATGGTGCTGGTAATAAAAAGGAAATGACAGTGTGAACCAAGGAGAGACACTGAGTCTGAAAGACAGATTTAGAACTCACCGGCACCCAGGTGATTACTGAAGCCTCCGTGGAGATGCGCTGACAGGAAAGATCTAATCCTTGAAGAATGTTTACATTTAAAAAATAAAAAAATGGAAAAGGAGCCAAAATAAATGGAGAAGGAGCAGACACAATTGCAAGAGAATCAGGAAACTAAACTGTCACAGAAGCTTGGAGAAGATAGTCTCAGTAAAGGTAAAGAAGAGGGGTCAGCAGAACCAGGCGATGCAGAAAGGCCAATGAGAGTAGACAGGGGGACCAACATATGATTTCTCAATGAGGAGTCTGTCAGAGACCACTCAGACACTGTTTCAGCGTAAATGTGAGGCTAAGAAGGCAGACAGCAAAGGCGGGAACTGTGAGTAAGGGTAAACGGAGCAGTGCAGGCAACCCGAGAGCAGGAGGGCTTTATAGGCAGAGAAGACAAACTTCAGAAAAGAAATAAATTGGAAAATAATAGGCGGAGGCTATCTTTAATGGGGAGGGGTTCTGAAAGTAGTGGGAGGGATGAAGGTGTTCACCCCAGAATGGAGGAGCAGTTTTCCTGACACAAACAGGTGGCCTAGAAAAAGTCCCTCCTTCTCCACAAAATCTCCCACAGAACTGGCAGTGGTTATGGGGGTGGGGCTGGTGTCATGGCAGGAAGCACTGCAGTTATAGCATCCATGAACAATGAATGGTTCCGAAACACAGACCTGGCCAGGCAGAGCTCAGGTGCGGAAGTCACATGTTCAGAATCTTCCCAGATCCAAGATGGCCAACACTGTCTCCTGCTTAGACTTCACACTGTGTCTGCTCCTTTTTTTTTTTTTTTTAAATTTTTTTTTCAACGTTTATTTATTTTTGGGACAGAGAGAGACAGAGCATGAACGGGGGAGGGGCAGAGAGAGAGGGAGACACAGAATCGGAAGCAGGCTCCAGGCTCTGAGCCATCAGCCCAGAGCCTGACGCGGGGCTCGAACTCACGGACCGCGAGATCGTGACCTGGCTGAAGTCGGACGCTTAACCGACTGCGCCACCCAGGCGCCCCATGTGTCTGCTCCTTTTTATTGGGCCTGGGCCCTGGGGCATAACTCCAGCCTAACTCTGTGAATCTTACATTATTCAATCCTTTCACCCTCTCCTTATTTTTCATGCCACATGATGGCACCTCTGTCCACTAACTGATAATAACCTCTTTATCAGGAGAAATTTCTTGAACATAAGACATATTCTACTGTCCTGACCAAATTCCTAGGTCTAGTCAGTCAGGACTCCCCTGACTTTATGCCAGCTACAAGCCGCAAGAACCTAAGTGTCCTCATCTGTAGAATGTGAGCTTGCCAGAAGTAATATCTAAAGTTCTGAATAATTTTAAAATCCCATGATTCTAAATCAACACTTTTCTTTAGGTTTAGGATTTCTTACTGTAGTGTGGTGTTTCTTTATGAGTATACTTATTACTTCTGAACTAGTATCTAAATTTTTTTATATAAATTTTAATATATTTTTTATAGAGATTTTTTCATATAGCAGAAAGGATGTGAGTTGAACAACAATACATTCTTTTCATCAACAGCTTACCTTTCTTCATTATTTTCCATCTGATTAGGAAAAGCAGCAAAGTCTAACAGTAATTTAATGGCATCAAGATATCCGTTGTTACAGGACCAGTGCAAAGCTGTTCTTCCCTATAAGCATAAACAAAAATCAGGTGTATCTGGAGTAGGTATTTTTGGACATATACTTAATTATGAAAAGGGAAAATATTAAATATACAGTGGAGAAAATGGATGGTATCTTAACCAAGTGATCAAAATTAATACTATGTTAAAAGGAACGATATGTTTCTAGAGGTGATACCCCGAAGGATTCAATATCACTTGTATAATATTCTAACCAAAAATGTAAAACTTAAGTCTAATTATGAGGAATCATAAGGCAAACTCCAATTGAGCGAGATCCTACAAAATAAATGACCTGTATTCTTAAAAAAAAATTTAATACCATGAAAAATAAAGAAGGCATGAAGCATTGCCAGAGATACAAGGGGGTATTTCATAGTTTTAAAGAAGTCAAAGAGGAAGATATCACAACCCTAAATCTGTATGCCACAGCTATTAAATATACAGAACAAAAAGTGACAAAATTAAAAGGGGAGATGGTCAAATCCATAATCACGGTGAGAGATTTTTAACCCATCCTTTGTAATAGTTCATAGAACAAATAAATAAAAGAGCAGCAAAGATATAGAAGACCTGAACAATACAGTAAAAAACTTTGATCTAAGTGATATATAACATTGCATCCAACTATGACACAATTAGTATTCTTTTCAGGTGTACATAGAACGGTTACCAAAATCGATCATAGGCTGGGCCACAAAGAAAGCCTCAAAGGACTTTGAAGGATTAAAATAATTCTGAAATAAAGTAAAGTAAAGTAAAGTAAAGTAAAGTAAAGTAAAGTAAAGTAAACTAAAGTAAAGTAAAGTAAAGTAAAATAAAATAAAATAAAATAAAATAAAATAAAATAAAATAAAATAAAATAAAATAATTGTGTTATTCTGATTGCTTTCTGACCACAGTAGAACTGAAGTTACAAATCAGTGTGGTAGACAGAATAAATGCATGCTTTTGCAAAGATGTCTACATCCTAATCTCTGGAATCTGGAACTATGTTATGATATTGGAGAGGGGGAATTGAGGTTGTAGATGGAATTAAGGTTGCTAATCAGCTGAATTTGAGATGGGGAGATTATCCTGGATGATCTGAGCAGGCCCAATGTAATCATATGGGTCCTTGTAACTGAAGGAGGGAGATGGGGGGGTGAGTGTCAGAGTGATGCAGTGTGAGGGTGACTCAGCTAGTCATTGCTAGCTTTGAGGATGGAGGAAGGGGGCCACAAGCCAACGAAGGAGGGCAGCATCTAGAAGCTGGAAAAATTAAGGAAACAGATTCTTTCCTAGAGCCTTCAAAAGGAATGCAATCTTGCCCACACTTTGATTTTTAAGCCCCATGAGACCCATTTTGGACTTCTGACATCCAGAACAGTAAGATAATACATTTGTGCTGTTCTAAGCCACTAAGTTTGTGATAATTTTTTTTTAGCAGCCAGGAGGAAACCAACATAATCAATAATCGAAAGATAATGAGAAAATGCCAAACTGCCTAGATATTAAACAATATGCTTCTAAATGATCTATGGGCCAAACAATAATCAAAATAGAAATTAGAAAATGTTTGAACCCAATTATAGTGATGGTGCAACTTTGTGTGTGTGTGTGTGTGTGTGTGTGTGTGTGTGTGTGTGTGAGAGAGAGAGAGAGAGAGAGAGAGAGAGAGAGAGAGAGAGAGAGAGAATCCGAAGCAGGGTCCATGCTCAGAGTGGAGCCGGACGCAGGGCTCAATTCCACGCTGCGATCATGATCTAAGCCAAAAATCAAGAGTTGGATGCTCAATTGACTGAGCCACCCAGGTGCCCCAGTGATGGTACAACTTATCCAAACTTTCAGGATAAAGCTAACGCAGGCTTAGAATAAGAATCATGCATAAATACATACATGGGAAGTGAATACTAAAAAAAAAATCAATGATTTAAACTTTCACCAAAAGAATCTTTGAAAAAATAGTACATCAAACCTGAGGAAAGTAGATGGTAGGAAATAATAAAGAGAAGAGTAAACACCAATGAAATAGTAAATAACTTCAAATATGGAAAATTAACAAAGACAGTAAGTCCTTTGAAAAGATGAATAAGATGGAAAAATTTTTTTAAAAACAAAAGAGACAACACACATTACCAATATATGAAATGAATAAGAGGAAATTACTATAAGTCCTATAGTCATAAAAAAGGTAAGAGAATATGTGACCAACCTTATGCAAAACATTTGATATTTTTAATAAAATGGATCAATTTCTCAAAAAATGCAACTTACCGTGGCTGAAAAGAAAATAATTAGAAATGTGAATAGTCTTGTATTTATTAGTGATGCTGAGCCAGTTATTAACACCTTTTACACAAAGAATACCTCTAGATAAGATGGCTTCACCAGGGAATTTTTCTGAACATTTAAAAGGAAGTAATACCAGTATTACACAAATTCTTTAGGAGAATAAGAGGAACTACTTCCTAACTCCTTTTAATTCACCATGTAAACAGCAGAGGTAAAAAACACATGTTGAAAGATGCAGAAATAGTATCTAACAAAAATTAAATGGCTAATCGTGAATAAAAAACCCCAATTCTTGGCAACTAGAAATACAAGGAAACCTATAGCAAACACCGTATTCAATGGTGAAATAGTTAAAGCTTTCTCCTTGAGAAGCCAGAATGAATTATGGGTGCTAACTATCACCAATTCTATTCAACATTGTATTGGAGGTCACAGTTCAATAAGGCATGCTATTCACAGATGCTATGGCTGTATATGCACATAATCCAAAACAGTACATAAGACCTAAAACACTAGAAAGTAGCTTGGTATACTACTTATGTAAGAAACCAGCAACTTGTAAAAAAAAATGTAGAAGATACTACAGATTGCAAAAGATGCATTTCTAATAACATAGGTACAAGAACCATTTTTTACATATTTTTCATTATGTCACTTTCACATATAGGAACAATCCTGATAAATATATATTGAGTGAATTAATAGAAATTATATTTTCTGGCTTGGAAAAACATAATATGCCAGTATTTTTGAAGACTTAATGCAATTAAACTAGCAAAAAAAAGTCCATAGTGGCAAGACTGAGAGAAGTCAATACAATCCTATATGGCTAGGGAAGTGGATATTAACCCACATGGGTTAGAAAGCAGTTTGGCAGTAATATAAGAGCTGAATCATATTCATATACCAATAATAAATAATCTCACTTAGGGGAAATTATTCTAAGGATACAATTTAAAAAAAGTTAAATGCACTTTGATGATTAATGAAATGTGATTTGGGGCGCCTGGGTGGCGCAGTCGGTTAAGCGTCCGACTTCAGCCAGGTCACGATCTCGCGGTCCGTGAGTTCGAGCCCCGCGTCAGGCTCTGGGCTGATGGCTCAGAGCCTGGAGCCTGTTTCCAATTCTGTGTCTCCCTCTCTCTCTGCCCCTCCCCCGTTCATGCTCTGTCTCTCTCTGTCCCAAAAATAAATAAACGTTGAAAAAAAAAATTAAAAAAAAAAAAAGAAATGTGATTTATACTATCACAAAAAACTATCCAGCAACAGGAAGTTACTTATTTAATTTTAAAATTGGGGTTACAAACATAGTTTGGATCCTGACTCTCCACAACAACCCTGGCCCTGTTGTCACCTTAGGGTAATTATTTAAGCTCTATGAGCTTCGATTTTCTACCCTGCAAATGGGAATAATAATAGCAACTCCTTTAGAAAGTTGCTGTGAAAGAGAGCCAAAGCATAAGAGACTCTTAAAAACTGAGAACAAACTGAGGGTTGATGGGGGGTGGGAGGGAGGGGAGGGTGGGTGATGGGTATTGAGGAGGGCACCTTTTGGGATGAGCACTGGGTGTTGTATGGAAACCAATTTGACAGTAAACTTCATATATTGAAAAAAAAAAGTTGCTGTGAGAATTGAATGAGTTATGAAACATAAAGCTCTTAGAACTTTGGAATATTCAGCATCTATGATTATGTGGAAAATTATATACCAAAGGAGAAAACGCTGGTGATAATTTTAAGTGAACAAAACAAAAATGTGGTTTATGAAGTATCATATATGTATGTATACACAGACATACACATATACCATGTATGTTTATTTTAAGAAGTTATGAAATTATTCCCATTCTGTATTATGACTTTGTTAAATTATATATGGCTATGGAGACAAGAACTAGAAGGAAAACAGGGAAAAATAAGACTCATTTTTAATTAACACATAAATTTATAAGTGATCTCTTTACTTGGTAAAATGTTGTTTTACTTTATTTTAGTTAATGAAGAATAAATAAACACCTTGGAGCAAACAATACAGAAAAGACTTAGAATTTCTACCTCTTTGTCTTGAATGTTAGGGTCTGCATTGTTTTCCATGAGCACTGCCATGCAGTTGATGTAGCCGCCATAGGCAGCGCACTGCAGAGGGGTTCTTCCCGCGTAATCTTGCACATTTGGATTGATCTTATTTTCTATCAAGATCTGGCAAACATCAGCATTTCCTCCCAGTGCTGCCCAATGTAGGAGAGAGTGTCCATCTTGATCCACTAGATCTACCCTTGCTCCACCTGAAAAAGCAAAAATATCAGTAAAATGTTGAACATAGAGAGCACTGATCAAAAAGGAGTCTGAAAACAGCAGTCCCTTAAACGCTTTGCTCTTAGCATTGTATACTATCTGCTTTGGATTTTTACAACAAGCCTGTAAGTTGGTCAGGGTAGGAGTCATTTTCCGTTTACACGAAATCAAACTGAGGATCAGGCAGGTGAAGTGGTTTTTCCAAAATCACACAACTACCAACAGGTGGAACTAGGAGTGGCCCTCAGGTTTCCTGATGCTTGTGTGTGCATGCGTGTGTGCGCGCCTGTGTGTGTGTGTGTGTGTGTGTGTGTGTGTGTGTGTAGGTGCGCATGCATGTGTGCATGCATGCGTGTATGCGTACGTGTGGGCACTCCTCCCTCCATCTGTCCACCCGGGTGGCCCTCTGCCTGTAAGCTGTTTCAGCGAATGCAACAATTCCTACCTTCTGAGAGAGACTTAGTAGGAGCACTCTCAATAACTAACCTTTAATAAGTGTCTGGATCACATCTTTGTGTCCCATCTCACAGGCTCGGAAAAGTGGAGTGTGCTTCATGACATCAGTGGCATCTACTTGAGCGTTATTTTCCAACAATAACTTCACGGTGCTGACGTGGCCAGAAAGGGCCGCGGCATGTAATGCTGGAAAGGGAGCAAAAGAAAGCAAAGAACTCTTTGATAACAACGTCACCTTTTTCTTATTCTGTGTATCTTTTCCTCTTCTGATGTCTTCATTTTGGCTAAATGCAATTTAATCTTAAGGATTCTCTATTGTTCACTTCTACAGATTTGAATCTTCCTTTCTATTCATATGTACTACTCACATTTCCCCCCTTCCTGTCTATCTTTCTCATTTCATGGTTTCTGTCTTTCCATCCTGTTGCTCTGAAATGCTTTCCTTTCCTCAGTTACTACTTTATTATCTTTTCCTCCCTCTTAGAGGGGAAGGGAACAAAAACATGACAAAAGAGAAATGATTTAAACGAGGCAGGCAATTCTGCCCACCAACCCCCTAATAAACATCTGCCCCTGAGGGTTGGTGTGATGGGAGGTGTCAATCTACCAGCCCTTCAGTGGCTTAGCCGTGCTATTCCTGCCATCGGTCTGCATACCCATGTGGTACAGAGGGTATGTGCATCCCACTGTATTCAGTGCATTTTTCATACCACATGGCTCCAAATGCAAGCCATTGATTTCCTCAGGGCCCAATTTAAGAAGCAGCAACTTGTTTCAACATTGGAGAAAACACCTGAGAAGGAATGGGGTCTGCCTTCAAATGGGATTTGAAAGAGTCATTTTGACTATATATGAGTTTCATGTTATGCTGACCTGTGCCTATGTTACTTCGTTCTAGCACTTGACTTATGTCATTACTCTTTGGATTACTCTTTAAATTGTATTTAAATACACCACTGCTTAAGTTCTGAGTTTGCCAACATAAGTGCCTAGAGGTCTGGGCCAGTTCTTCCTAAGTATCATGGCTCTATAATGCCTAGAACAATGTTTCTTTCATAAGGAGTGATCCATGGACCAAACCTAGGATGCCTATAAAAACACAGATTCCCAGGCATTTACTGAGAACCTGCTACGGGCTGGGTATTAATGTAAGGGTGGGAATTCAGCAGAGAACAAAATACATAAGGTTACGTTCTAGTAGGAGAAGCAAAATAAAAATGGAATGGATAAGCAAGAAAGTGTCAGATGGTGACAGATGGTATAATGGCAGTATTAAAAGGTACCTTGATAAGCAGAGTGACTAGGAGACCACTTTAACGGATGGTGATGGAAAGCCTTGCTAAGGAGCTGATATTGAAGTTGAGACCTGAATCATAAAGAAAGAGGGAGCAATGTAGAGATCTCGAGAGGGAGGAGTTTGGACAAAGAGAACAGTTGGTCCAAGGGCAGGAGTGAGTCTATGTGTTTAAGGAAAGCTAGGAAGCTGCAGCACAACGAATAAAGGCAAGTAAGTCGGAAAGGTAGAGAAGGCCAGGTATAAGTGGCCACATAGGGCCCAGTGATGAAGACACTGACGGACTTTACATAGGTGAGTGACAGTATTTGACTTGTGCTTTAATCAGATTGCTCTAGCTGTTCTGAAGAGAAGGCACTGTAGTAGGTTAGAATGAAAGCAGACAGACCAGCTAACACTGTTGAAGAAGACTCAGTAAAAAATGATGGTGGCTTGAGCTAGGGTGGCAGGAGTGGAGATGAAGAGAAGCAGAAAGATTTAAAATATAATTTAGGGACACTTGGGTGGCTCACTTGGCTCAGCATTGGACTCGATTTTGGCTCAGATTATGATCTCACGGTTTGTGAGGTTGAGACTTGCTTCCGGCTCTGCGCTTACAATGCCTAGCCTGCTTAGGATTCTCTCTCTCCCTCTCTCTGCGCCCCCGCCCCCCCCGCTTGTGAGCACATGTGTTAGCTATGGATTGAAGAATTGAAAAAGCAAAAAGGAAACACTGAGGTATCACAGAGGTAGTAAATGCAGAAGACAGCCAGCAATTCTAGGACTAGGGGAACATAAAGAAGAAGATGGAATTGTTAAAACCTAAAAGCCTAGAAGAGGAGTCCTGTGGAGTGGAAACTCAGACCTCTGAGCAGGGCTCTGCTTGACTGGTGTTGGTGCTCTGGGGCTGGTACTGTGAGTGTTGGAGAAATTGCAAGAAATTAACCATCACCACTGGAACAAACTATCACTGCTGTGTTGAAGAAGGCTGACTAGGGTGATGCTGACAGGAACAGGAAACCAAAACAAGAATAGTAAGCAAACAGGAAGGTGTAATCCCATTCTTCTAGCTTCCAGTTTCTCTCTACTGCCCCCTATGGGTGGATTCTAGCAGGGCACCTGCTGGCAAAGGGGAAAATGTGGTCTACAGAGCCCCGGCCCTGGCATGTCAAAGACAGGAGAGTCCCGTTATCATATCTAAAAAACATTAGCAAAAATTCCGCCATATTGAATACACAGATAATGCCCATATTTTTCTGATGGTTTTATATATTTTTTTTCAGTTTATTTGAGTGAAGATCCAAATAATGTCTGTATGTGGCTGTTGATGAGAACTCTTCTTTCATGGGAAGCAAAAACAACCCTGTAGAGGGATGATGGAGACAAACTCACTCTCGTAGAAGAGAAATGGCAGGAAGGCATGTCTGACATATAATAGAATCCCCTTAAGAGAAAGAGCCAGGGAACTGACGAATCTGAGAAGAAGTTATGTCTGAACTCCAACCATGGGGCACATCAGAAAGACACCTTTGGTCAAAAGGATGGAAGTATCCTTGCCCATACTTTATTAAAATACACGACAAAGTTAAACTAAAAGCAAAGCTAGTGATGGAGTGAAAGCCTGCATACTAATGGGAGTCTGACAAAAAATGAAACGTTCAGACCATTTATAAACTCAATGTCCCACATATCATGTCTGCAATATACCCTTCTTTAAGAAGCTTAAGGTCAAGAGACTCATAAATATGGAGAACAAACTGAGGGTTACGGGAGGGGCTGTGGGAGGGGGGAGGGGCTAAATGGGTCAGGGGCACTAAGGAATCTATTCCTGAAATCATTGTTGCACTAGATGCTAACTCATTTGGATGGAAATTTAAAAAAATAAAAAATAAAACAAGTTAAAAAGTAAAAAAAGAAGAAGCTTAAGGTCTACTGTGAAGCGCTGATAAAGAAATACTCTTGACAGTTCAAGTCTTTATTAAAATTGGTATTACCTAAAACTCTTTAAAAAACAGTTTAGGGGCGCCTGGGTGGCGCAGTCGGTTAAGCGTCCGACTTCAGCCAGGTCACGATCTCCCGGTCCGTGAGTTCGAGCCCCGCGTCGGGCTCTGGGCTGATGGCTCAGAGCCTGGAGCCTGTTTCCGATTCTGTGTCTCCCTCTCTCTCTGACCCTCCCCCGTTCATGCTCTGTCTCTCTCTGTCCCAAAAATAAATAAACGTTGAAAAAAAATTTAAAAAAATAAAAAATAAAAAAATAAAAAACAGTTTAGAAGGGGTGGTGGCATAGGGATAGAGAGGGAGATTGTTAGGTATAACCCTGCCTCCCCACCAAATGCCACATCAGTAGTTCTGGTGGGTGCAAACAGCTCTACTGTGTTTCCATAAGTAAGAAAACACTGAGAAGCTTGTAGCTGAGTTTTTATTCTGGTCTGTGTTGTGCTAATGTGCGATTTTCTTTCTTTTTCTGACTTGTAATTACGATATAGTACCCAAGGTAGAGATTTCCAAGTTGACAACGAAAGCTAAAAAAATTCATACCTCTCTTATTAGCCAACACACAGTTAAAGGGGCCTCTTCTTAGAAAAAGAGAGCGAAAGAAGGATCTACTGAAAGCTTTGGATGCAAATCTAACGTGAAGCTCTGAAGCTTCAAGAGTCATGTGGGGGTTATCTCTAAAATGGGAGATTTGGGAGGAGGTGATGCTCTTCAAATCTGAGAAAAGAGCACATTAAATGAGACATACATAGATATGTGCATTCCTTAAAATATAATCCTGTATTTTTGAAGTATGATCGATAACTACTAAATATGCATAGTTTAAGTACAGGTTTATTTATTTATTTTTTTATACCAAGATAAACAACATGAAGAGTTCTCATAATCATGTTTAAGGGGCAACCAGGCTTTTAAACCAAATGCCACCATTCACCTGGTAGAAATATAGGCTAATTTGAGCCATCAAACTTGGAGGAAATAAAGCTTTTGGAGTGATATCCTGGTAACCCAAACTGAAAATGTGCCAATGGAAGTCAAACAATATTAGATTAGGAACAATGATTTCAGGCATTACTGTACAACTTGTAGGGCACCTATACACTCTGGAACCCTAAAGAAAGCAAATGGAACAAGTCTCCCAGTTCTTACCTGTACCTCCGTATTTGTCTGCCATGTTAATATCAATGTCAGATTTTAAACTCAGCATAGTCCTAAGGACATCATCACTGCCTTTTCCAGCAGCCCACATAAAGGATGTTCTTCCTTCCAGGTCTGAATCATCTTTCACTGAAGGATGTTTTAAAAATACTTTAACTGTTTCCTGTAAGAAAACTTGATTAAAAAAAATTGAGACAAGAGGGTAGCATTTTCTATGGTAATAAAGCCAGTGTTATATGTGACTTCCTCTAAGATGCGAAGTATTTTTTCCCTGCTTTCGAATCAAATGAAATTATCTTTTTTATGAATAATGAAACTACAATTTCCATTGAAAGTAACAATCCTCTTTCTTTATATATTAGTTTTAGTTTCCATGCATTTCAAACACACAACCTAACTCCCTCATTCAACATCCTCATAATTGAGGATGAACATCCACAATCAAGTTTGAAAACTTTATAGGTCACTCTTTGAGAGATGAAGTGATGGTTAAAAGACTCATGGGGTGCCTGGGTGGCTCAGTCAGTTAAGCGTCTGACTTCAGCTCAGGTCATGATCTCACAGTTCATGCGTTCGAGCCCCGCGTCGGGCTCTGTGCTCCAGCTCAGAGCCTGGAGCCTGCTTTGGATTCTGTGTCTTCCTCTCTCTCTCTGTTCCTCCTCCACTCATGCTCTGTCTCACTGTCTCTCAAAAAATGAACAAATGTTAAAAAAAAAATTAAAACACTCAAATATTCAGTGTCATGACCAACATTAAAACATAGGTTTTTCTTGGACATTTTACATGCAGAGACCTGTATACTCAGCCATGCCTCATACATTCTCTTGTTGTGTGTTTTGCCACTATAATTAAAAAAATATTTAATGCACTTACTGAATAATGATGTGTAACTACTGACAAATGCAGTGTTCAGTTCGTTTAAACAGATATTTATTTATCAAGTCCTATATTCCAGGTCCTTCCTCTATGGAATCACACTAAAATTAGGACCTGCAATAATCCTAACAGGGCCTGACAATTTTAATGGGGGTTAATATTCACAGCTTTCTAAATTGCCTCTTTCCTTAAGCCTCAGATGCTTACACACATTTAGGGAGATCATAGAAACTTTAGCTTGAATGGAAGTAAAATAGTTTCAGGAAAAAAAAAATTCTGAAGGTTGTGAGCTGGCCAAAAGTGTCTAAGTGTTGATGCTCAATATTCTAAAGCAAGATGAAATTCAAGGGCAGCCCTTCATTCCCAGATGAAGGTCATACAAATGTGGTTCAAGGTCATACAAAGGTGGTAGATATAGGAGTGGAGTCCAGAGCTAAATCACAGCACCCTTTCCACTGTATACACCGTATGCCACTGTATACACCACTTCCTAGTGTTAAAGCTCATTGAGCTACTGAGGTGTTAGAGTGGAGTGCTCTTAGGATCTACTGTGTATGCTTAGTACACACAAGATTGGAATAAACAAATGGATTTTAAAACATGGTAATTTTTTGGTCTGTTTTCTTTTACTAATTTGTAAACATTTCCTTGTTGAGTATGTTTTTGTAATGATGAATGTTCACAGAGGTTTGTGGATTTTTGTTATTATTTTCTAAAAAGGGACTTATAGCCTCCTGTGGGTTAACAGAGTCCAAGGAGATGAAGGGGCTTGAAACTGAGCTTAGAAGATTTGCATAATTATTAAAAAATCATCTCCGTAATTGGCAGATTATCCAGAGCAAGTATTTCTTTGGATAAACACCCATAATGTTCTGCCATTCTTCCTTATTCCCAGTACCTTAGTCACTTAATTGCTGGTATCTGTGCACATGTTAAATTTGGAGTCTAAGATGTGGGTTCAAGATCTTGGGCAAGTCATTTAATCTCTTGAAACCTTGGTTTCTTCCTCTTCAAGTTAGGGATACCACGTCCTCTCACAGGCTTGTGTTGAAATATGAATCGAGTTCTGATTTCCATAGGTTTAATAGGCTGGGCCAATGAATTTCTTATCTATCTGTAACAAGAAAGAGCTCCTCTTCAAAATATACTTTGTCTTTTTCTGAGACAATAGAATAATGGGAGACAATAGAAGATAATGGTTTGCCAAAAGTCTAGGTGATACATTTATAGAAATGCCAGGAAGGAGAGACCATAGCTATAGTTGCTCTAGGTACCAGAGACAAAGAACAATGGGAAAATAAGATATTTTAGGAATCTGAGCATTAAATTTATTCAGTGGTGCATTTGGGAAGGTCAGGAAGATGGGATTACACTATGCTGAGGATGGCATTCTTATAACGTTTTTTTTTTGTTTTTTTGGTTTTTTTTGGGGGGGGGGACAGAGAGAGACAGAGCATGAACGGGGGAGGGGCAGAGAGAGAGGGAGAGACAGAATCGGAAGCAGGCTCCAGGCTCTGAGCCATCAGCCCAGAGCCTGACGCGGGGCTCGAACTCACGGACCGCGAGATCGTGACCTGGCTGAAGTCGGACGCTTAACCGACTGCGCCACCCAGGCGCCCCTCTTATAACGTTTTTAAGTTTGTTTATTTATTTTGAGAGAGAGAAAAAGAGAGAGAGAGAGAGAAAGCAGGGGAGGGGCAGAGAGAGAGGGAGAGAGAATCCGAAGTAGGTTCTGCACCATTAGTGCAGAGCCTAATGTGGGGCTCGAACCCACCAACTGTGAGATCATGACCTGAGCCGAAATCAGGAGTCGGACACTTAAGTGACTGAGCCACTCAGATGCCCACATTCTTATAATTGAATGTAACCAAAGTTTCCACTACACACACCCATGCAGAATACAGTAAAATAAACTCTGACTGCTTTGACATGTGCCTTTTTGGATAAGTCTCTAGTTCTTGGAGGCCACTTACTCAGGAAGCTGAAACAGCCTAGCTGCTATGTTACTGGCTGGACTGAGGGACATAAAGGATGCAAAAGTGCTTTGTAAAACTGTAAAGGGTGGCAAGGGAAGAATTATTAAAAATATTCAATACCTTTAGAAATAATTCACATTTTTGCTTTCTCAGCTATATAATACACAAAATTATTAGCACTAGCAATAGAAGGAATGCATTGCATTTCTTGAGTCCCTGCTCTGTACCAAGAACTACACTAGGCACTGGGCACAAATTTTCTCTGATTCTTATAACAATCCTGAGAGGAAAGGTATAATTATCCTCATTTTACATGTGAAGAAACTAAGGCTTAGGAAGCTAAGAAACTTGTTCCAGGTCATACAGCCAGCCGATGGCAGAGTCAGGATCCCAGCCAAGGTTAGACCAGTTCTAAGGCCTTGCCACACAAAGAAAATACTTGAACACTAAATGCATATAAAACCTTAGTGCCATAAAATTAATGAGAAGATGAAACATACTTACATAGAACAAAATGTTACACTGAACAGTTAATATAAAAACTGTGTTAAAATTTCACATGACTTACAACTATCCCTCACTTTACAGTCAGAGTTAACAGTCTGAGCAATTGTTAAAATATAATTGCTACACAAACACAAACACTAGTACGTGTAAAACTGAAATGTGAATAAGGTGAGTGGATTGTAGGAATGTCAATTTCCTGTTTATGATACTGTTTCATACTTTTGTAAGCTGTTACCATTGGGGTAAATGTGGCTGAAGGGTACATGGGATCTGGCTGTTTTATTTCTTATGACTGCATATGAATTTGTAATTATGTCAAAATAAACATGTAATTACGCAAAAAGATAACTGGAATTTGTAATTATGTCAAAATAAACATGTAGTTACACAAAAAGATAACTGTCACATTTTACTTACGGCAAAGTTACTCTGAGCTGCATAGTGCAAGGGTGTTGCTCCTTGGCTGTCGGATGGGATGGTTCCAGATTTATTTCTTTCTAAAAGGAGATGGACAATCTGTGCATGGCCTGAAAGTAGACACAAGGCAGTTATCACGTAAAAGGACTAGTTAATTTATAATCTATTTTAAGGAAAGTTTTCTGAATAGTGGCCCGCAGTATAGCTACTTCTAACTTCTCACTAAAATACTATGATCACGTAGAACAAAGGCGAACACTTACAACACTGAAATTTTAATGATTCAATCAGAAAGGAAATGATATGAATTACAATTGCTAGATTGAGAAAGAGTATATTAGGTATCAGCCCACTGCATTCCCTCGCTCTGTTTTATAAAACTGTCCATTAAAAACAGGAGGGAAGCCAGCCCCTGTCAGCCATCAGGGTCCCTAATATCCAGGTCTCACTGTACAGCTGATCAGAACCGCACAGCTTTTCGGGAGGACAAAGTATAATAGAGCCTCTTGTAACCTCTGAGGCCTCCTATCAGTCCGCTCTACCCTCCCACCTCCGCTTTTTTCACAGTAGGTGGTGATTTCAAATCCCAGAAAACGTGTGGCAGGAATGATGAGGTGGTGGCAGAGAAAATACTCCGCAGCGCATTCTGGGGGATGTGGTTTCCGCAAGTGAAGAGCTGTAGAAAGGATCAAAGGATGAACAAACATGGTAGCGGCATATTTGGGAGGCCTGAATATCATGCATTCTATTGCTTCCGTGTTCTGGGGACCCGGGCAGCAGAAGGACATGGACACACCGCAGGAGAAAAGCAGGCAGAAAAGGGGAATGTGGGTGGGAGTTGTGCTCACAGACCTGCTCCCAGGTATGACGCAGACGGAGTTCTCTGAGGTGGGCAAAGTGAGATCACAGGCAGACTACTGAGACATGTCATCTTGTTTGAAAGATAAGGAGAAAAATTCTGTAAAGGCAGTATGAAAATACACTATAGGACAGGGAACTAGGAACACCATCAGGAGACGAAACGCATACCTCAGAACATGATCTAGAGAAGGGTCCAGAGGAAAAGCTCAGGAAACTGTTTGGCATCCTTGACTTGGGCAAAGAGATGTCCTCAATGGAATGAAACAGAATATCCTAAGAAGGAAATAATCTGAAACGCAAAGGTGATGGAAGGAGGCGAAGAGGAAAAAAGCCGAGATACAAAGAAATTGGGATGTGGGAAGGGAATCAAAATACAGCCTAAAATACAATCTATGAGAGTCAGAAAGAAAACAGAACTAGGGAACAAAAAGTCACTTTAGTGACCTGGAGACGAATTTGCGAAGTCCTCCCAGAACGCACCAGACAAAGAGAGAGGGATGAAACTGCACACTGAAGTGAAATCTAAATAATAATTATAAATCTGATAATAAGACGGAATGCAAATGCAAAAAGTATTCTGAAAAGACACAACGTGTAATTTAAAAACGAAGCCTGCAATAATAACTGGGGAAAACTTCAGATCATGTTAACAACTACTAAAAAAGCGATAAGTAAAGGCGTGCTAAACTCCTCATTTTAAATTCGGTGGAAATCAATAGATGCAGTTTTGCTTTTAACTCTTGACTTATGTTTTAAAAAGTTTTCGATAAATTTAAAAGTAAACACTAATAGAACCTAAAACTCTCCTAAAACACTAGGCAATTCAAAACCAAATAACAACAAACCTAATCTAGATACCAAAAGGCAGGGGGAAAAAAAACCCCAAAACATCAATAATACTCAAAGAACAGAATAGCAGAAAAAAGACCAAATTATATATCTTATAATAGTGACTATGAATGGGTAAAACTCCTTCACTGAAAGAGAAAGACTCTCAGATTACACGCCCTCCAAAGCCAGACACAGACACATTTTTGCACTCTCTCATCTAACAAAGTGATCTCCAAAAAGGTTAAGTAAAAGGCATATCAGAAAAATATGAAGAAAAAAAAAATCACATATCATAGTATTGGCACAAACATAAAATTAAAGCCCTCCTCCCCAAATACACAAGCATTGAATGTGAAGATTATTTTCTATTTACATTTGTCAATGAATGTACATTACTCTTAAAATAAAAACATGTTAAGATACGATGTTGAAATTAAAACCGATATATAACAGAGAATACATTTATATTACTAAAATTTAAGCATACAACAGAGGGATAGAAGATGCCACATATCAACTAAAAATTAAATTAAGGGCACCTGGGTGGCTCAGTCAGTTAAACACGCAACTCTTGATTTCAGCTCAGGTCATGATTTCAGGGTTCAAGGATTCGAGACCAGCGTGGGCTCTGCGCTGACAGGCAGAGACTGCTGGAGATGGTCTCTGCTCCTCCCGTTTGTGCGCATGTGCAAGTGCGCACGTGCAGATGCGCATGCGTGCGTGTGCCCGCGAAAAACCCTTAAGTTAATTAAACGGAGGTGGAAGCTGAGGTGAAGGGAAGCCATGGAGAGTTTCTGGTACTCATTGCAGTTCCTCCTACCGTTGATCCTATGACTGACAGCTCACCTAGCAAAGCTGCCCAGTGAAGTGGGGTTCGAAATAAGTTGTCGTAAGATGTTATATTGCAGCTTTCATATGAGGTCAAGACATCAACCACTGTCACATTCCCATCAGCGACCGCAAAGTGAAGAGGTGTCCGACCCTCGTAGTCTTGCCAGTTCAGTAAGGACTCCGTGGGAGCAGCGTCCTATTTTGAAGAAACCAGAGACTTCAGACACACGTGGAATTCTCAGCAAATCACATTTGACATAAGCACGAGCTGAGCCATTTTCTAAACCTGTATATTCATTCTCTTAGCACAAGTGATAAAACTCAGAAAAAAAGTATACGTTCTAAACCTTTAAAAATTTCTTGTCATGTTTAACTATAAAAAATGCAGAAAAGATATAGTAAGTACCATTACTGACTATCCAGATTTAAATAGGTGTCAATATATTGCCTAATGGCGCTTTTGTACCTGTTATGGATTCGGCTAAAGCTGTATGTTTTATACTTTTGTTCCATACGTATGCATCCATAAACAATATGTAAATTATATATGTGTGCTTTCAATATTTATACCTCTGAGTTTATACTATGTATATCCTTTGGCAGTTTTTTTCCTTCAACACTATACTTTTGGGTGTCCATGTTGATACTAGTTCATTTGTTAAGCCACAATTTACTTATCCATTCTCCTTGTGAGGGACAGTTAGGTTATTTACAGTTGTTCCATTATTAACAATAATGCTGCAATGAACATGCTTCCTTTACATGTCCCTTTGTAGCACATGTGTGAGATTTTCCTCTAGCCCAGACACCTAAAAGGGGAATTTCTGGGTACAAGGATATTTACATTATCAATTACGTATTATCAAACTGCTCTCCAAATGGTTACACTAATTAACACATCCAGGACAATGTGTAAAAGTTTTTATTTCCCCACATGCTGGCACAAATTAACCCTTTGGTATTATCAGGCTTACTACATTTTTCCCCCCTTACAGGAATGAAAACATTTTGCTGATGTTTTCATTTTATTTATTTTATGAATGAGGTTGTGTTTTATCATATGCTTATTGGCTGCTCTGTTTGAATTGACAGTTCACATTTACTCATTTTTCTCCTAGGTCTTTGTATCTACTGCGAGGTCCCCTTTCAAGAATAAAGGATTTATTTCCCTAGCTGCTGTGAGTGCTGCCAGCAGATGACCCTCAACTGTCAGACTTTTACAATTGCTTCAGCTAAAGACAGTTGCTTCACTCAAGGTCATATCCCTTCTTAGATTAGGTCACAGCCAAAGCCAAGCCTTCCTGCCCCAACCTGAAAACTCTCTTAAAGGCCACACAAGTTTAGAGTTGCCTGTGTGGTCATCCTATTTTATATATAAAAAAAAAGTATGAAAGGTATTTTAAACACTTCAAAAAAAGTAGTAGAATTTTACCATGGTGGCATTTTAGGCCTTTGAGTCTCCAAAGGACTAAGATGTGTTTACAAGGAAAAAAAAAAAAAAGCCAAATCTGTGAGGAAACAAGATATGATGAGTGACAAGTATCCTCCAAGTACTCCAGATATTGGAGTTGACACATAAAGAATATAAAATAACTATGAACATGTAAAAAAATTAAAAATGAAATAAAAGGTGAATAAGGTAAAATAACTATCAAAATGACGAAGCAGACTTAAAAAACAAGAAACAACAAAAAGAACTTTTAGATGTAAAAATATCGGATTGAGCAATGAATAGGGCAAACGAGAGAGTGGACTCAGGTGAAGAAAGGCTGAGTAAACTGGAAGCCGTGTTTGATGTAATTACCCAGAACATGGCAAGAAGATGGAAGGTAAAACAGACGAGACATGGAGAATAAAATAAAAATGTCTAAAATATGTGTAACTGGGACCATAAAGGCAAGAGTGTAGAGAATGAAAGAGAGGTAATATTTAATTTTTTTTAATGTTTATCCATTTTTTCAGAGTGAGAGCGTGAGTGGGGGAAGGGCAAAGAGAGAGGGAGACACAGAATCCGAAGCAGCTCCAGGCTCTGAGCTGTCAGCACAGAGCCCGAGGTGGGGCTCGAACTCACGAACCACGAGATCATGACCTGGCTGAAGTCGGACGCTTAACCATCTGAGCCACTGAGGTGCCCCAAGAGAAGTAATATTGGAAGAGGTAATAGCTATATATTTTCCAGAATGGACATGAATTGATAGTATACACCAAACATGACAAAAAACACCCCAAAACCAAAAACCAAAATAATGCACCAAAAAACAAACAAAAAAACCACCCCCCAAACAAAAGAACCTCCCCCCGCCCCCACCAGACACACTGTAGTGAAACTGCAGAATGCCACACAGACAAGAATGTAAAAGCAGCCTGTGAGAAAAGATAAATCATCTCTAAAGCAATGACATTTACACCAATACAGAATGCTCCACAGGAACAATGAAAGAAAGAAAGCAGCAGAAAAGCCTGAAAGAGTAGAGAAAAAGAAGTACTTAGAAGTGTGTATACAGAAAAACTATATATTCAAGAGCATGGTAGAAATGTAGACATTCCTTTTTAAAAAATGTTTATTTGTTTTGAGAGAGAGAGAGAGAGAGAGCATGTGTACAAGCAGGGGAGAGGCAGGAAGAGAGGGAGAGAGAGAATCCTAAGCAGGCTTTCTCTCTCAGCGCAGAGCCTGACATGGGGCTCAATCTTACGAACCCTGAGATCATGACCTGAGCCCAAATCAAGAGTCAGACGCTTAACCTACGTCAGGCTTAACCTACTAGCCACCCAGACGCACTGAAATGTAGATATTCTTAAGAGCAGAGAGCATTCACCACCAATACATCTACCCTAAAGGTAGATCCCTAAAGGGAGTTCTTAGAATTATATTTCAGGAAGTAAGATATTAACTCCAGAAGGAAAACTTGAGATTCAAGGAGCAATGCAGAGCAAAGGAATCAGTTAACATGTGGGTAGAAATAACTATTGCATATACAAAAGAATATTATCTTTTAAAGTCTAATTTGTGTGTTACAAGCAAATAGGACTAAACATTCGACTATCATAGCTTATAAGCTGGAATTTGAGAAGCACTGATTAGAAACCTCAAAGAATCCACTGATAAATATTCAAAATTAATAAGAAAGTAATAAAAATTAATAAGCAAGTTGGTTAGATTCATATTCAATGAACAAAAATATCAACTGCATTTCCATGTGCCTTCAACTACCAGTTAAACATACATCTTAGATACACTAACAAAAAATAATAAAAGTTCAGGGGCACCTGACTGCTCAGTCAATAGAGCACTCGACCCTTGATCTCCCTTGAACTCACGTTCAAGCCCCATCCTGGCTATAGAAATCACTTTAAATAAAAGCAGTACTATTTTTATTTTTTTAAGTTTATTTATTTATTTTGAGAGAAAAAGAGACAGCATGAGTCAGAGAAGACCAGAGAGAGAGGAAGAGAGAGATAATCCCAAGCAGGCTCTGCACTGCCAGCACAGAGCCAGACATGGGGCTTGAACTCACGAAACTGTGAGATCATGACCTGAGCCGAAACCCAGAGTTGGACGCTCAACTGACTGAGTCACCCACGCACCCCATAAAGCAGCACTATTTTTAAGTAGCAAAAAAATAGAAATAGTTCCAAATGTCTGTTAATAACTGAATAATGTATGGCTTGTTCAGAAAATAGAATACTACATAATGGCAAAAAATAATATGTTACAGGTAGACACAGCAACATAGATAAAATCACCAGCATAATATTGAGCAAGAAAAGCATGTTGCAAAAGAATACATTCAATGTGATTCCATGTATACAGAATTCAAAAGCATCAAAAATGAAACAATGTAGTGTTTAGGGATACGAATATATGTGGTAAAACTATAATGAAAATCAGGAATATAAACACATCATTGAGGATAATGGCTGCCTCTCAGAAAGGGCAAGAACAGAATGGTGTTGGGAGGTACCCAGGGAACTTCAAAGGTAACGGTTAATGTACTTGTTCTTATGCTCAGAGATGAGTACGTGAATATTTGTGGTTTCTATATTCTTTACAACTTTTTTGTTTTTTAAAGTAGGCTCCATGCCCAACACAGGGCTTGAACTCACGACCCTGAGATCAAGAGTTGGGCGCTCCATGGACTGAGCTACCCAGGTGCCCCTTGTATTCTTTATGTCTTACAAGCATTTTACAGATATCTCTACGCAGTGTTTAATAGGTGCAAGTAAACAGAGCCAGGGAAGGATAAATACAAATTCAGGAAAGTAGTTGATGGGGGACAGGGCAAGTGTGGCTTAAGTAGAGAGGATGTGTTTGGAAACCGGCATGTCGGAAATTCTGTGTGGTCTTAAATAGCAGCATAGCAGCACTACTGTGTTCTATTTCTTGAGTGATGGGTTCACGTGCCTGTTTTGTTTCTTCTGGTTCATAATTTGTTTGTGTGTCGTATATACGCTTTTGTATACTGGCTATTTCATAACAAAAAAGTTGTTTGTCAGCAAGGCAGCCCGGGGCCAGCAACACCACCGTACTCACCAGGATGCATCGCACCGTATGAACAGCACTGGGATCTTTGTGGTTAGCTGCCCAGTGAAGTGGGATCTTGCCTTCGACGTCAGGGATCCCGATGTTGGAATCGTGCTTGATGAGCAGCTTCACGTGCTCCGGGTTATTGTAATAGGCACTCCAATGCAGAGCCGTTTGCTGCAAAATCGCGAGAGGCTCAGAAACACAGCAACAGTAACACAACAGATTTCCCCCAAGCTTTTATTGTGTGACGGGCACTGTTGTAAGAGCTTTCTGTATTTTACCTCATATAGTCATCGTGATAACTCTAGGCAATGAGTACTCTTGATTCTGCATGTGATTGATGAGGAAAGGGAGCACAAGGTGGATGAGTGCTCTGCTCACGGGTATGAAGGTAGTTAAGCGGCCGGATTGAGATTTAAATCCAGGCAGTCTGAAGAGGCAGTCTGACCTCTTAATCATGACAGGCATTTAGGTCATCAGGTACTAATCAGTGGTAATACTGAGAAAAAGAAAAGCAGGCCGGTGGTTTATGAATAATTATCAACAAGGTAAGTAACAATCTTGATATCGCACCAAGCATTTTAAGAATTTGATAGAATGTTTTGAATTTCAGTATCTATCAAAAAGAAGATCCATGCATAGGAAATCATGGATTTGGAATCCATTTCTTATATCAAAGTACAAATTTAAATTTAACTATGATTTTATAGGATAAATTGTTAGACTTACTACTGATGTTAAGATACATGTTGCAAATACAGCGATATTGGCTTTATTTTGGATAAAAGTTAAAAGTGAACATCCTGTTGGGGCACCTGGCGGGCTCAGCAGGAAGAGCATGCAACTCTTGATCTTGGGTCATGACCTCGAGCTCTGCACTGGGCGTGGAGCTTCCTTAGAGAAAGAAATAAGGGCACCTGGGTGGCTCAGTTGGTTGGGCTTATGTCATGATCTCACGGTTCGTGGGTTCAAGTCCTGCGTCAGGCTCTGTGCTGACAGCTCAGAGCCTGGAGCCTGCTGCGGATTCTGACTCCCCCTCTCTCTGTCCCTCCTCCACTCATGCACTCACACACTCTCTCTCTGTCAAAAATAAATAAACGTGGAAAAAAAATTTTTTTTAAATGAACATCCTGAACTTGTTGGCATTGCTTTAAAATCCCCTCTGCCGTTCTCATCAACAAACCACAGTAAGACTGGTCTCTGTATTAAAAGAGTCACTGAGCAAACACAAAGAAATGGTTGGGCTGTACATTATCTCTTATGAACAGCAGTATCATCAATCCAGTCTAGAATCAGATCATTCGCCAGTAGGAACCAAGCTCACTTGCTACACTAAAAACTTTAACTGTTGACATATGTGGAATTTACGTACAGTGCACCTACAGGCATTTAATACGAAGAGTCACTCATTCCTTTTTATTTAGTAATGACTGTAGAACAAAAACAGTCACAAATATAATAGAAAATAATTTCCTATAGCTACATTTTCTTCCTTCTTCCTCTTCTTCTTTTTCTTCTTCTTTTTAATTGTTTTAAATGCTTATTTATTTTTGAGAGACAGAGCGTGAGCGGGAGAGGGGCAGACAGAGAGGGAGACACAGAACCAGAAGCGGGCTCCAGGCTCTGAGCTGTCAGCGCAGAGCCTGACACAGGGCTCAAATTCACGAACTGTGAGATCATGACTTGAGCTGAAGTTGGACGCTCAACCGACTGAGCCACTCAGGTGCCCCTCTTCTTTTTTTTAAGTAGGCTCTATGCCCAATGTGGGGCTTGAACTCACAACCCCAAAACCAAAAGTCTCATGCTCTACTCACTGAGCCAGGCAGGTGTCCCTATAGCCACATTTTCAATAAACAACATATACAGTTTCTGTAATTCTTTTGTTATATTATGTTTGCTCTGAATAGGTTTACTGAAAGGTAACACTAGATCTGTTGGATCTAATAGTACAAAGTTTGGGATTGTACTTTCTACATCTTTAAGCAATTTTTTCTAGTAATGATTATTATTTTTTTACTGTGATAAAATGTACGTAACACAATTTATCATTTTAACTGTTTTTAAATGTACAGTGCAATGGCATTAAGCACATTCCCAAAGCTGTGCCACTTCGGCGCCTTCCACCCCCAGAACCTTTTCATCTTCCCAAACTACACTCCATACCCATTTAACAGTAATTCCCAATTTCCACCTGTTCCCAGCCCTTCACTTAGCATAATGTCTTCAAAATTCATCCATGTTGTAGCGTGTGTCAGAATTTTGTTCCTTTTTAAGGCTGAATAATATTCCCTTGCATGGACTGCATTTTGTTTCTCTAACCATCCATCAACGGACATTGGGATTGTGGTCATCATTCTCCTACTGTGAATAATGCTGCTATGAACATGGGTGTATAAATATCTGCTCACATTTTTTATTTCAGCTCTTCTGGGTTGATACCCAGAAGTGGAACTGTTGGATCATGGGGTAGTTCCATGTTTAATTTAAAAAAAAAAAAAAAAATTTTTTTTAACGTTTGTTTATTTTTGAGACAGAGAGAGACAGAGCATGAATGGGGGAGGGTCAGAGAGAGGGAGACACAGAATCCGAAACAGGCTCCAGGCTCTGAGCTGTCAGCACAGAGCCCGACGCGGGGCTCGAACTCACGGACCGCGAGATCATGACCTGAGCCGAAGTCGGCCGCTTAACTGACTGGGCCACCCAGGTGCCCCCATGTTTAATTTTTTGAGAAATTGCCATCCTTTTTTCCATGGTGGCTGCACCATCTTACATTCCTACCAGCACTGCACAGGGTTCAAATTTCTCCACATCCTCACCAATGCTTGTTATGTTCTGTTTTGGTAATGACAGTCCATCCGAAAGCGTGTGAAGTGTTATCTCATGGGGGTTTTACGTTGTTCAGTTTAAATACATGATACAAAACTTTGGGTCTGTGAAGAGTGTAAATTAGAAAAACAAACAAACAACGGATCCTTCCTGTCAGTTTGAGAATCGTTGCTTTGGGCTTTTGTCCTGTTCTCGTCTCTGTGCCTGCCTGGACCTTGCAGATCTGTTTTCCATCTGTCTGGCCGGATCACCTCCCATCCCTGTTCAGTAACAGAACAGAAAAGTACTGGACAATAGCAGGGAGTTCCTAGAAGATTCTGAGGAAGACATCATGGTGCCTGAAGACATCTGTGCCTTGGTAAGTGATTCATGGGGCTTTGTGGACTGATCAAAGTGCTTTTTCAGTGAAATATTAGCACTACAAACATGGTATGAGTTAGGAATAATACTGGTTTACAGTAGTTGTAAAATAAGGTCAGAGTTGATTTCAGAATGCAGGCTTATGTGAGTCATGGGTAAACAAATTCTGAAAACTACAGGAAGAGCCTGTGAAGGGCAGTGTAAGGGTCAATGGACATGAGCCCAGCGGGTTTAATCCCAAGAGTTTTAATCACATATGGGCGTGCTGAAGGTAGCAAGAACTCCATGATTCGGTGCCTCGTGGAAAGGAAGAGGATTTTTGCACTTGTCTAACTGAACACCACATTTTTATTTCCTGTAAAGAACGATCAAAGCATTGGTCAAAACAGTGGCTGGCGTGTTCAGTATGTTAAAATTCAAGATCTGGGAGGATAACTGATCCTGGCAACAAGTGCCAGAGCAGATGTCAGAGCCAAAATGAAACGAATAATATTTATTGTATAGCTAACATTTATTGAGAGTTATTTTATGACGATGCTATGGGAATTGTGTTAAACCCTATTTATATGGGTTTAACCCTATATATATTTATATACCTCATTTTATCTTCAACAACCCTATCATCCCCTTTTCACATGAGAAAATGGAAGAGCAGAGGAGTTAAGAAAATTTTCCCAAAGGCACAGAACAAGTAAGTAGTGGCTTCTAGACTGAAACTCAAGAAGTCTGATGCTAAAGCCCAGACCATTATACCACTGTGCACTTACTACATTGCCCCAGGCATTTGGCCACAAGGAAACTCACCCTTGGTAACTATCGCTACTAGCTGTCAAATATTGGGGTTTGGAGATAGGCCTGGGTTGAATTCTAGTCTTGCCTCTTGGATCTCGGACAGAATTTTAATCTTCCTGAGCTTCAGTTTCCCCATCTGTGAAAAGGAGATGATACTACCTACCACACACGGTTGGTAGGAGGATAAAATGGCAGAATTTAAATGAAATTTTTCACTGGGGAGTATGAAGACTAGAACACATTCCACCATGTGTAGGAGCAGTGGTTCTTCCTTGAGCTTTCACATCATAAAAGGATGTGAATTTGCTTTTGCTCTTAATTTGCCTCCTGATTTTGGCAGTCCCTTACCTTTTTTTTTTTTAATTTAAGTTTATTTATTTATTTTGAGAGAGGGAGAGACAGAGAGGGAGGGAGGAAGAAACTCCTGAGCAGGTGCCGCACCATCAGCACAGAGCCCGATGCGGGGCTTGAACTCACGCAATCATTAGATCATGACCAAAGCTGAAACCAAGAGTTGGGCCCTTAACCGAATGAGGCAGCCAGGTGCACCCCCTCCCCCTTACCTTGTTTTTATCCTGTGTATCCACTTCTCCTGGTGCCATAAACTTCAGCAGAAGCGCCAAACACTTGGGGCTCTTGTGCCGAGTGGTCAAGTGCAAAGGGGTCATCTCTTCCAGATCCTTTTGCATCCAGTTTGCTCTGCGTGTAAGTAAGAGTTTCATGAAACGATAATTTCCCTAAATAAATAAATAAATAAATAAATAAATAAATAAATAAATAAATAAATAGAAAGAAACAGTAAGAAGAAATTTAGTTTGGGGCCAAGGAATTTTCTAAATTTTAAAATGTTTTAAGTAGTTTAATTATTCTGCTAGAGTAAAAATATTTAGATATATCAATTGATCAAAGGAAAAATACTTAAAATCCCACTACTCTATCAATTGTTTTACTATGAAAGTTCCCTTCCAACCACTTCCTATATGCATATAATTTACACTGCATGCATATAGTTTACAATAGTTCAAATAGCTGGTCAATGTTTCATTTATTGAACCATTCAAATTTCCAGTATTTTCTTTTATAGAATATGATACAATGTACATTTATTTCCACATAGTTTTCCATAATTTTTTCATAAGAATAAATGATCAGGAATCAATTTAGTGTGCCAAAGGAGTTTATACAGTTTTTGGTGTATTTTCCAAATTGCTATCCAGTAGCAGCAAAGAATATACTAGCACATTCTGACCCATACAGCACCTATTATTTATATTCAAAGTATAATAACCTTGCGAAATGATCAGAGATTTAAAATCCCAATTTACAGGTGAGGGAGGTGAGATTCACAGTGGTTGAACATTTTGTTCACGGTCATCTGGTTACTAAAGTATAAAGTAGGTGGTTAGTTTTCTTGCAGAGTTACGTAGAGGTACAACTGAGAGAGATGAATCTTGTTCGGAGTTTGGGTCCCAGACGCATCTGGTCACCTAAACACCAACCTAGAAGTCACTGGAGGCCATCCACTTGCAGGCAGTACTCTCCACAGCAGTTAAACCCTCCAATCTGGTAGAATCAACCCATTCAGAGAAAGCAGCTTAGCTACAGGGGTTAGAGCAATCCACTGGTGGGGATCCAGGTCAACTGTGTGTGTGTGTGTGTGTAATATGGTAGCTTTGAAACCAAACAAAACCCTCAAAAAATTGTTCTTTGGAGCTCCTTCCTGAGATATAGTTCCGTATTTCCAATTCTGGTTGGAGCCTTCAGTTTGCTTGGTACCACAGATATTTGAAAGTCAATATAACGAAACTGTACGACATAGTCAAGTTCTCTGCCTGCTTCATGCCTGTTTATCTCTCCCTATTCAAAGCAGAATGGCAGTCAGGGTTATCTGTCCTTTTCATCTTCTGAGATCCTCTACATCCTTAATATTGTTGGAAATGTGGTTTTTTTAGAATTATAATGTATTGATATTCTACCGTGAGTGGCTATGAGTATTAGTAAGAAAATATTTATGAGTTAAGCAGCCCCTCCCCCCATTGTGATGAATGTGAGGCTCTAAGGCAAAGGGACCAGCTAGGGAGACAATGAGGTGCAGAAGGATGATGGTTCCCTGCTCATACCCACAGGGACAGAGACAGGAGTCAACTCAGCTCAAGGGCTGGGCCACAGATAAGAATCAGAGGCTAAAAAAGTGTCCATCAGGCTGTCTATATTAGATGGGCAGACTTGGAATGGACCAAAAAGCAAAGTGACTCAGCTCAATTATTTCCTCTCAGAGAGGCTTTCCTTGACCACCCTAATGGAACTTATTTTGTTGTGCTCCATTCTAGTACCTTTCCATTTCCTTCATAGTACTTTGCTAAGTTTTTAGTTACTTATATTTGTTTCTTTCCCTTCCCTGTGATCTCCTTCACGAGCTGTAAGCTTCATGAAGGCAGAGACTGTGTTTTACTGGGCACGGTGTTTGGCTAGCTGCTGGCACAACATAGGTGATTACTTGAAGGACTGAGTAAATGAGAGGAAATAAAGTGGGTGGGGGGATGGGCTAAATGGGTGAGGGGCATTAAGGAAGACACTTGTTGGGATGAGTACTGGGTGTTACACCTAGGTGATGAATCACTGGAATCTACTGCTGAAATCATTATTGCACTATATGCTAACTAACTTGGATGTAAATTAAAAAATTATTTAATTAATTAAAAAAATACCTTACAGAGGTTTCTCTTTTTGTTTACAAATTCTTAATGTTGCTATACTAGATCATAACAGTTAAGAATCTTAATTCTCAGATGTCTGGTATTTGGTTACTCTTCCTTTTTAATGTTTTGTTTATTTGAGCATCATTCATCTGGCTTTCTCATGTCATCCAGTGCCAGCTTTTGAGAAGTAAGGTGCTAAAACTTCCTCAAGAGGGCACCCTGCTCTAAATCTCTTGCCATCTTTTCTTTGAAAAAAGAAATGGTGCCCAGGAGAAACAAATCTATGTGGTACTTCTTACCAAAAAATAAAGCATGACCTTTCTGAGTATAACATTTCAAATATTACAGAATAATTCATCACGACCTTTTAAAGATATTCAATCAGACAATCATCTTGATTCTGGAATCCAGAGGAAAGGGGAAGGAAAAAGAAAGAAACAAGAATATATTGGTGGGGGTGACTACTGACTTACAGACACAGTGCTTCGTGTATTCACACCTTACATTGTTCTGGGGATTCTACCTATAGAAAACATGATGCACTAGGTAATAACATTTATTTATTCACCCCTCAAAAAACATTCATTGAGTCTTGTTATAAAGCAGGCAAGAGTGAAACGTTTACACTAAGCCTTATTTATGACAAAGCTCTAGGATGTATTTGCTCCTCACAGAAGTATAATGGAAAGGTTTTACAGATGAAATAAAGTATCTTCCCGTGCCTCTATTTCCTCATCTGCAAAACAGGGATGGAGTACCTGAGATTATTGTGCATATGAAATGATAAAGATCATATTTGTACTCAGTGCACAAAGTAAATGCTTAGTAAATGTTTGCTGGTTTTATTATGAACAGTTTTCCAATGTGGAGGAGGCAACAAAATGTAGCTAATCAAGTAGAAACAAGAATGGCCCATGATTGACAGCATATAGATAGAAAGATCTGACCACACATAGCATATACACTTCAGCTAGAGAAGTGTGGAGAAAACCAAGGTTAGGGACAAGTAAAAGTGGAAATAATTGGGATGTCATAAATAGTGATCTTCTGATTTTTTTTTTTTTTTTTTTTTTTTTTTTTACATTGAGAAAGATGCCTGTACTCTGCCTACAGAAAATGATGACACAGGACCAATAAGGGTGTACCCAGTAGGAAATCTGTGGGAACCCTGGGGAGATGTTAGCTTCTCTTCCCAAAGGCAGGGACACAACAGATATTATCTATAAATGCTGGGACTGGAAACACTATAATCCATTTGGACCACCATCAACTTCCTGGTCTCATGAACAAGCATTTATTAGATGCCCAGGGCATGCAAACTCAATTCTGAGGATGAGCAGAGGCGGCAGAGAACTCTAAGAACTAAAATCAGGAGAATATTTCTAGTGTCAGTGGAAAAGGAGAAGATACCAGTTCGAAACAGGAAGCTAATTTGATAACCTTCTGAAGGTTGTTATGACTGGGGACCCCTATCCTAGACAACTTTGCTTCCTATAAAGCCCTCTCAATAAAAAACAAACAAACACAATGTTTAAATGTTTCCTTAATATTGCTTAAAATTCAGACTTCCTAAGTTTTCAGGTTTATTCTTAAATGCAAGAATAAGGAGGATTTGGAGTTAATCATTTAGCACCATCTCTTAGGGGCACACAGAACTTAATCCTCAGGTGAACACTGTTTTGGGATCTGTTTTTATAATTTCTGACTGAATAGGAAATAGTATAAGAGTGCAGGAGATAATAGAGTATATGTTCCTAAGAAAACTCATGGTAGGGGGGCGCCTGGGTGGCTCAGCCAGTTAAGTATCCAACTTGATTTTGGCTCAGGTCATGATCTCATGGTCCGTGAGATCGAGCCCCATGTCGGGCTCTGTGCTGACAGTGCGGAACCTGCTTGGAATTCTCTCTATCCTCTCTTTCTGCCCCTTCCCTTTGCTTGTGTGCGCGTTCTTTCTCTCTCTCTCTCTCTCTCTCTCTCAAAATAAATAAATATTAAAAAAAAAACTGATGGTAGTGAGCACAAGTTGAGAGAGCTGAAGTTAGAGAATGTCCTGATTTAGTCACCAAAAGGACATTAACCCTGATCTGATGTTATGCCACCGAAGTGAGAAAACATTTACTAATGTCTCTGAAACATTGAATAAGATACTTTGTTTTGCTATGTAGCCATAATCCTCATCTTAATCTTCCCATAATTAACAGGAGCTTCTTTTGTCTGTGATGTAAATGATTATGACATTTGGATTTCCCCCAAATGCAGGAAAAGGACTACAATATCTAAAAGGGTAAAAGAGGATAAAAAAAGTTCTCTGACCTGGAGAACACACTTAAAAGGAATCTGGGAAATAAATCAATCCAAAATGTGACTTTTAACCTTATATATTTTTTTGTCTGTCCAGTTCTCTAAAATAGGCTCCATTTTTAGAAAAAGCATATAGTTAATCTTAATAACAATAATATGGGAGTTTTGAGTGAAATGCCTTGATATTTTCCTTCAGATTCTTAATTTATTATTATTTTTTAAGGTTCACATTTGAGAGAGAGAGAGAGAGAGAGAGAGAGAGAGAGAGAGAGTGAACGGGGGAGGGGGCAGGGAGAGAGGGGAGAGTTTCCAAAGTGGGCTCCGTACTGACAGCAGAGAGCCTGATATGAGGCTTGAACTCATGAACTGTGAGATCATGGCCTGAGCCAAAGTTGCATGCTCTCCTACTGAGCCACCCAGGTATCCCTAGATTTTTTATTTTTAAGAAATAAAACAGAACCAATACGGTTCATGATCCCTCTGTGGCCCTCTCCAATTCTCCCTCTTTAGAGACTACTATCCTGAATTTGGAGTTTTTCATTCCAATGAATGCTTTAATACATTTGTTTCTTACACATATATGTACCCATAAGCTACATAGTATTGTTTTACATATTTTTAGTCTTTATATAAATAGTACTGTATGATCGCTTGCCACCTTTTTACTCAAAGCAGTGCTTTTTTGAGATCTATCCAAGTGGCTCCAGTTCATACATTTTCACCGGAGAAAGTATTTTGTCATATGAAAATAACTGTATTTCTTTATTCCCTAGAGGAATATTTAGCATGTTTCCCATTTTTCACTATTGTGGACAATACTGTCTGGACAATTTTCTTCTACATGTCTCCTGGTAAATGTGCAAGAATTTCTGTAATGCTGGGTTGAAAGTGCTCTTTAAAGCAGCTAGTCGGGGCGCCTGGGTGGCGCAGTCGGTTAAGCGTCCGACTTCAGCCAGGTCACGATCTCGCGGTCCGTGAGTTCGAGCCCCGCGTCAGGCTCTGGGCTGATGGCTCAGAGCCTGGAGCCTGTTTCCGATTCTGTGTCTCCCTCTCTCTCTGCCCCTCCCCCGTTCATGCTCTGTCTCTCTCTGTCCCCAAAATAAATAAACGTTGAAAAAAAAAATTTAAAGCAGCTAGTCCAATTTGTATTCCCACCAGGAATGTATGAGAATTTTTATTTCTTCACATCCTCGCCACACTTGGTTTTGTCACACTTGCTAACTTTTGCTAGTAAAATGGATACACAATTGTGTTTTGCCATGGATTTAATTTTCATTTCCCTGACTGAGGTGGAATGTTTTTATATGTTTATTGGCCATTTGCTTCTTTTTCTGTGAATAGCCTTTTTGTGTTGTTTACTCATTCCCCAATTTAGCTCTTTGTCTTTTTCTTAATGATCTGTAGGAGTTATTTACATATTCTGTATACTAATTCTTGGTTGGTTTTGCAAATATCTTCTCTTTGTGTGGATTGTCTTTTTGCTTTGTTTATGCTCTTCAGCTAGGAATGAATTCATGATCTGAATAATGATATTGCTAGCTTTCTTAGCATTAGAGTTCTTCATTTATTTTGGAATTTTTGTTTGCAGGCTCATTCATTCATTCATTCAATCATTAAAAATGTTTAGGGTTTCCCGGGTGGTTCAGCCAGTTAAGTGTCTGACTTCAGCTCAGGTCATGATCTTGTGGTTCGTGAGTCCAGGCCCCACATCAGGCTCTGTACTGACAGCTCAGACCCTGGAACCTGCTTTGGATTCTGTGTCTCCCTCTCTCTCTGCCTCACCCCTGCTTGT